ATCTAGCACTAGTTCATTTTTAAAGAATTAAAAGAAAATAGTTCAAGGTAACTAGGGGAAAAGATTGCAGGGGTGGGTGTTTCCAGTGTCCCAAAACATCATGCCCCATCTTAGTATATCAGCAGGAAAGCACCCAAAGTCACACACCTTGCCCTTTTCTAAAACGAAACAAATGATCACACAGGCAAAACACTATTGGGATTATTGTAGGGTAAGAAAAAGGCAGAAGCCCCCAGCAGAAAGGGAAAATATCCAGATTGGAAGGAGAAAAGGTCCCGCTAATTTGCATTGACCTTTAGGTCGTGTGAATATTAAGAAATACTTCAAATTCACCCGTGTCAATTCCAGAACAAACTGGAAAGCATTTTCCAATGTAGCCACAACAACATCATTTCTAGCAGATAAATCAGTTTTTAAAAATCGACTTAGGCAAGGGAAAAACCTCTCATCGTCCTACTCACATGCCCTTGCACGCTCTCAGTTACCCCATGGGTCTTTATACGCTTTGCCCCCACATTTTATGCGGGCGAGGTATCTGGTGTCTTTTGCCAGCACTGGAAAGTACCTGGGGCGGCCGCAGAAAGCACCGGGTCGCAGAGCCAGAGCCAGAGCCAGAGCAGCGGCGGCATCGTTCGAAGGCGCCGCATGGCCGCCGAGCTCCCTCCTCTCACGGGCCTCCGGGCGGGAGCCGCCGCTCTTCCCTCGCCTCAGCCGCCATCTCCCCGCCAGAGTTGGCCAGACAAGACAGCAGAGGCCTGGCGGCGGCTCTCCCGCTCCGACTCCGCCTGGGGGATGGCGGTGTTAACGGGGCTGTGTAGAAAATCCTTCCTGCTCGCCCTTGCACGCTCTCAGTTACCCCATGGATCTTTATACGCTTTGCCCCCGCATTTTATGCGGGCGAGGTACCCGGTGTCTTTTGCCCGCTTGCCCTCAGTGGGCAGCTGAGGGGCTCTTGCGTCTTTAGCAGCTCGACACTGGAGCCCAGTAAGGGTAACTTTGGACAACAACTGCACGCCGTCGGCAATTCGAAGAAGCCCAGAAACAACCTCGCTCGAAAGAGACAGAAACGCGGCTTGAGTCCGGGAAACCCAAGCCTAGGCCCCGTCGGCGCTCGCACCAAGGACGCCAGCGCTGCCTCCTTATTGCCTGGCACAGCCCCGCGGAAAGGGTCTCCCCCCCCCCAGCACTGGAAAGTACCTGGGGCGGGCGCAGAAAGCAGCAGCATCAGGTCGCAGAGCCAGAGCCAGAGCAACAGCAGCGGCATCCGAAGGCGCCGCATGGCCGCCGAGCTCCCTCCTCTCACGGGCCTCCGGGCGGGAGCCGCCGCTTCTCCCTCGCCTCAGAGGCCATCTCCCCGCCTGAGTTGGCCAGACAAGACAGCAGAGGCCCGGTGGCGGCGGCTCCGGCTCGGGCTGGGGTGTCTGTGTGGCGGTGTCAACGGGGCTGTGTAGAAAATCCTTCCTGCTTTGCTCGGCCACGCCCCGGGGAGCCTTTCTAGGGAAGCCCGGCCTCTTCCCGCCATCAGCGGCGGTTTGTCCCTCCGTTTGAGGCGGCGCCGAGGGCGAGAGGGGAAAGGGCCGGGCACGGCACGGATAAGGCCGGGCTGCGTGTCTGCGTAGCGCGGTCGTTTTGCGCACGATTGCACTACTAAGATAAAATAAATCGTTTCATTCCTATGCATTTTTAACACACAGAGACGCCCCTTTAGAGTTCGCCCCTTTTGTCAGCAGGGAAGCGGGCGCTCCTTTGGGGAAGTGGTGCAAACGCAACACCCGCTCTTTGGAGGGCAGCGTTGGAGCGGCTGCCGTTGCCTCCTGCGCAAATTGGACCCACTGGAAAGGAGTTGAGACTCCCGTATCCGAGGGGGATCAGTTCCAGGCTTCCCCCCCCACCCGCGGACGGTGAAAAACGCAGATTGTAGAAAACGGTATTATAACAGTCCTTTTATGAGGAAATAAAGGGCACTGTAGTTTTTGATGGCTCAACATCAGATCCCTTGGACATCCTAAGCAGAGTGGAACAGATCTGTGTCCTTGCGCCAACCCTGTTTGGGATCTTTCTTGATATCATGCTGAAGCACGCCTTTGGAAGGGCAACAGAAGGCGCCTATCTCCGGATTCGATCAGACGGAAAGCTCTTTGAGCTCTCTAGATTGAGAGTAAAAACCAAAGTCCAGCTGAAATGCATGCGGGACCTCCTCTTCGCCGATGAGGCAGCTGTTGTTGCCGACTCTGCTGAAGATCTCAAACAACTCTTGAATTATTTTAGCAAGGACATCTGCAAGCGGGGTCTGAAGGCCTTAGGAATGGACCTCAACAGATGGGAAACCTTGACATCTGAGTGTTCAGCCTGAAGGCAGTGGGTGCATCATGGCCTCTCCCATTTTGAAGAGACCCTTGTCCAGCAGGCGGAGCCAAAGAGGCAGTCCTGAAACCAGCAAAACCAGGGAGCTGGACAGAGGACAGATTGTGTTTTCAGTGGGGAAGGGATTGTCACTCTCGAATTGGCCTTCTCAGCCACACTAGATGCTGTTCCAAGACCTCTATTCAGGGCAGATTACCATAGTTTCTCGAGTCTGAAGGATGCCTAATCTAATCTAATTATAATACGTAGTGAAGTCTACATGTACCATGGACTCTCTCTCCCTCTAGTGGCCAGTTGTGGCAACTTCATTGTTAGAAATATATATACAGTAAAAGTACAGTATATTGGTAGAAATATATATTGGGATCTTTGCTTTAATATTTTCAGACTGTGAATAACCATGGAATTAAATGCTGATTCTACAGTTGGGGTGGCCTTCTGATCACTGCAGATGGTGACAGCAGCCATGGAATTAAAAAACACCTGCTTCTTGGGAGGAAAGCGATGACAAACCTAGACAGCATCTTAAAAAGCAGAGACATCACCTTGCTGACAAAGGTCTGCATAGTCAACGCTATGGTTTTTCCAGTAGCAATGTATGGAGGTGAGAGCTGGACCATAAAGAAGGCTGACTGCTGAAGAATTGATGCTTTTGAATTGTAGTGCTGGAGGATGCTCTTGAGAGTCTCCTGGACTGCAAAGAGAACAAATCTATCCATTTTGAAACAAATCAACCCAAGTGCTCACTGGAAGGACAGAGCCTGAAGCTGAGGCTCCGGTACTTTGGCCATCTCATGAGAAGAGAAGACTCCCTGGAAAAGACCCTGATGTTGGGAAAGTGTGAGGGCAACAGGAGAAGAGGACGACAGAGGACGAGATGGATGAACAGTGTCATCAAAGCTACCAGCTTGAATTTGACCCAACTCCAGGAGGCAGTGGAAGACAGGAGGGCCTGGCATGCTCTGGTCCATGGGGTCACAAAGAGTCAGACATGACTTAACGACTAAACAACAACCTTCTGTATGTGATGGAGTGAATGAAGCCTTGAATTTTGGGCTGCTACCAACCTGTTACCCAGCGGGTGGAAGAGGAAGCAGTTGCTTTTACCCTTGCTGCTTTCCAACTCCTTTGCATGGAGGTGGCAGGGTGAGGGTGGACCACTCCAGTGGTGAGCCATCTAGGCTTCGTGCTGTGCATCTCTGCTCAGAAAGCATTCAAATATCCTGCTGTTTAAATGACAACCTTGGAAAAAGTTAGTAAGCTGAGTGGGAATGCTTGCCAGCTAGACGTTCCTGATCCTTGAGATAAAGGGATTGAAGAGGGTCGGATGGGAGACTGCTGGAAACATATTTCTCTACCCCTACCAATGGCTAGTTATATATATTTTAAAAAAAAAGTAAAATCAAAGGCATTCTGCCTAAAAGCAAGCACAAAGAAAGGAGTTTAAACTGAAAGTAACACAAATGATACACATCTGATCTGTATGTACATACTCAGTGGGGAAAAAAATGGCAAACTGCACGGTGGCACTTCAGACAAAATGTGAAAGATACACATTTTGAGCATAATCTCTCCAAACATGCAAAAAAATTCTCTTCAAATAAGACCAATCCATATACCAAGGAAAAAGGCTGTAAAAATTTATCTGTTATGCTGGTTCTGTTGGCAGGGAGTTTTTATGTAAAGAAGCGCCCAGATATGTGATCCTTCAACTGCAATCTTCAGTGCTCCAATGTGTGTTGCATGGTAGAAAATTTGATTTTGATCAAATATATAAAATCATATATTTTATATTACACACACACACACACACACACACACACAGAGGGTGCATTGGGGGCTACATATGTTTAAATGGCAACAACAACCCACACTATTATTTTCTTCATTTCAATTTTCACCGGGCACCTACAGTATCTTTTATTAATATTGCTTAAGATACCACTATTACCTTCCATCTATGTTGGAGAAGTTTGTAATGTGTTAGTCACTGGGGTGGACTTCCAATTTAAAAATCAACCCTGTGTGTAGATTGAAGAACACCTTCCATTGCCAGGGGTGTGATTATAGAAAAGATCCCTGGGTTCAAGATTATCCAGCAGACATAATCTCAGGAATGTACAGATGGGAAGGTCTGTAGTCAGTAAAGTAGTAGGGGCTTGTTTGTTTTGCATACAACCCGTCTAGACAAACTACTCTGGGCAATTCACAGCACAATCAATCAGAAAACATCAGACAAATATAAGATAAATTCCACATATAAAACATCATAAGATATAACAACAGTTAAACAATGACACATTAGAACATTAGATATTTAAGTCATTAAAGTGGCAGCATGGTTGTCTTAAGGTCAGTAATTTCAAGGGGTTTCCATTGATGGAAATGTCTGTCTAAACAGCCAAGTTTTAAAAAACTTTTTAAAACATCAGCAGTGAAGGGGCCAGGCCGATGCCCACAGGTAGTTAACTCCATAGTCTGGGTGTGACCGCCAAGGAGGCCCAGCTTCTGGTCCCCCCCTTCCAGGCCTCTCTTGGGGTCAGCGCCTTCAGACAACCTGCCTGGGATGAACGTGCTGTAAGAGAGACAATTCTTGGAGGAAGAAGCTGTTCTGCCAGGTACCAACCTTTTTGGACCAGCTAATGGCACAGGTGTTTTCTCAGAATCACTGATGGGGGCAGTCAGTCACAAAGTACCCGTTCCACGGAAAGCAAAATGATGTTAAAAGAATAACAATTTGCCCAAGAAACTAAATACAAAGCAGAGATAGAGTCTGGGCACCAGAAAGAACAGCACTTCTGATGTTTTGGTTTTTTAATCTGCATCACCTGTTTCACAGAGGTAAACAGCTGAGGCTCAGAGACAAATACTGTAACTTGGACAAAAAATAAAGACAGAGGTGAGACTGGAAGTGTATTTGCCACTCCTCCAAAAGGCACCACAAAACACCCTTTCCACAGAAGGCAGATAGGTGGTGCTCAGAGTAGGGCACACACAACATACACAAACATCCCACGCACAATAGCTACATACAATTCCAGGCAGTGCAAATACACACCACACCCTGAAACACACAAAGCATACACATAGTACAGACCAAACCCTCATTTCTGATCCCTGCCATTCCTTCTAGCTCTCCAGAGTATTTACTGTCCCCACCCCTACATGTCAGCTTACTTTTTTCCTTTTCTGATGGCTGAACATATAAAGCACTGAGCTGCAGCTCATTCAAGAACAGAGTCCTTGGGAGCTCTGGTGCAAACAGGACCCTGTACATTGCCAATAGACCAGTGACTGTACTTGCTTAGAAACAGAATGCACAACTTTCTTCCTCTAGTCAAGCTGTCGAAGAACGGTGGGCTGTTGAAAAAGTTGATGCCTTCCTGCGTCTAGTCCAGTTCTCCTCCATTAGCTGCTCATAACAGCAAAATGAGGGTCTCCCACTTTGCTTGAGTTCATAAGATGGAGGTTAGTGCTAAAATTAGGTAAAACCCCTGTGGCAAAATCTGTACTCCACTTCTGATTCTGTATACATGTGAATGCGAGCAAAGGAAGAACAGAGGAGATGCTTTGGAGATCCATGATGGCATAAATGTCCATGTGCCTCTCAAAACACATCTAGCAAGTCTGGTGTGAAGACCAAATGAACAATGGCATATGATTCTGCGCTGAGAGATGCTGGATGTACATCTCCTTTGATGAAATGTGATGCAAATATTGGCCAGAAAATAAAATAGGTCAATGTGTTGTATCAGCAATTAAGTGAGATAAATGAGGTGGGAATGAATTTAGCAGCATAAATCAGTTTTTGCTTACCATTATTCAAGTATATATTAATCATAAGTACACTGTTTAAATGTATAAAATTCTGTTTGTGGGCTACTCAGGTCTAAGCTTACAAGTAGGAGATGACATGTCCGAATGCATCGCCAAGATCCCTGCATGTTAATAGGAAAAAAATAGCAAAGTATACACGGAATGTTCTAAAGTAGTTCCTTCTACAACAGGCTATTTTTCGACACCCAGAAGTACTGTATATGTGTATTGAAACTTGCAAAACATGCAGTTCCTATGTAATAGCTAAATGCAATAGCAATCTAGAAACCATTCTTCTCACTGAAAAGCTTTCAGACAAATAATCTCCTTGTGTTCTGGAGCTTGTGATACCACCCCCACAAATCCCTATCACATGTTTCTACTGTAAGTACAGTAAATAGTAATGGTGAAGGATTATATTCTATAGC